ACTGAAGCAAATTAAATTGTTTCTTTCAACAATCTACAACTATATATGAAGATTTTTATGACTTATGATACATAAACAAGGACCACGGGTTCAGATTTTTAAATTTTGACGCTTTATATCTCAATAGTGGGAAATATTTTAATGAGCAATATTGAAAAAAGATGTTCAAAAATAATTTTCCTAACAATATTCATCCTTTCATTTTTTTTTTTGCTTAACGTCTCCTTTAAGGACTTGAAGGCTTACTCTCTAAACATTTCTTTTGCAAATATCTCTGAAACAAAAAAGAATTTCTGAATTGTTGTTGAACAATAATTGTTAAAAATCCTAAGAGCTTACAGTTAAAATCCAGAAAAAAGGACTGGGCATTCACATAAGGGGTTTAGAGGGGTCGGGAGTTTTAAATTAACTCCTTAACAATCAATATATTACTGAAGGAAAAATTTTTCAACAATCTACAACTATATATCATGACTTTTAGGTCGTATGTTACATAAATAAGGGGCACAAGGGGCCATATTGCTAAATTTTTTACCCTTTATATCTCAAAAGTGGGAAATATTTTGATAAGTAATATTAAACAAAAAATGTTCAAAATACTGTTCTTAACAATATGCAATCTTTTATATTTTTGAATGTTCTCAATGAAAAGTGAAAATATTTTTAATCATATACATGTATTACGTAATGAGGTCATAAGGGTCCAGAATGCCAATTCCTTGACACCTTTTTTCCGGAAAAGGGCAAATATTTTGAAAACAGATTTCAAAATAATATCCTTAAAATGCTGCTTTTAATTTTTTGTAAAGTTTCTAGGACAGTTGGCCATTAAACATTTTTTTCTATAAAAACGATAGATTATTTTAAATTGATATTAAACTTTTAACAAGAGGCCCATGGGCCTTATAGGTCACTTGAGCATTATGCAACAACTTTCCAGTGATTGAATTTGATTCATGTTTTAATCCAGATGCTATGGCATTCACAATTTTGAAATAGGCACCATTGATCATCATAACAATACACTTAGCAGTTGCTTAGTTTGTTTACTTAATACCCATAGGCAGGGTAGGGGAACAAAAACTGCATTTCAAGTAATCAGTAATATTCAGCATGATCAGTAATGCCCCAATCACACATGAACCCCTGACCCTTTTTTTGCACAATTTTTGAAAAGGCACCCTTGCTTTTCAAAAATATTTGATAAAGCAAAGCAGATTTCAAACAATTCATCCAGTTTCAGTATATAAGTAAGCCCCCCCCCCTCCTTTATGGTACCCTTGACCCTGGGGCCTTGAAATTCACAATTCTGGAAGATTAGGACCCTTACTCATCATAACTACATAGGTAGTTCATCTGCTTAATACCAAGGAGCAGAGAAGAAAACTTTCAAAGATTTAGTGTATTTTCATTGTATAATCAATAAAGCCCCACCCTATCACTAGAATCCCTGACCCTGGGGCCATAAAATTCACAATTTTGGAAGAGGCACTCTTGCTCATCATAACTATGCACTTATTTAGTTTATTTAATACCCAGACGCAGAGAAGAAGATTTTCAAAGAATTCATGTATTTTCACTAATAATCTAAAGAGCCCCCCCCCCCTACATTATATATGGGGCCATCGAATTCACAATTTTGGTAGAAGCACTTTTGCTCATCATAACAAAGCACTTAGTTAGTTAATTCAATACCCAGGAGCAGAGAAGAAGATTTTCAAAGAATTCAAGTATTTTCACTATATAATCTTTGAGCCCCCCCCACTTTATGATCCTGGGGCCATAAAATTAACAATTTTGGTAGAGGCACTCTTGCTCATCATAACTATGCACTTATTTAGTTTATTTAATACCCAGGAGCAGAGAAGATTTTCAAAGAATTCATGTATTTTCACTATTTAATCTATAGTGCCCCCCCCCCCTTACACCAGAACCCCTGACCCTGGGGCCATAGAATTCACAATTTTGGTAGAGACACCCTTGCTCATAATAACTGTGCACTTAGTATATTTATTTAAAACCTAGTAGCAGAGAAGAAGATTTTCAAAGAATTCATGTATTTTCACTATATAATCTATAGAGCCCCACACTAACACCAGAACCCCTGACCCTGGGACCATTAAATTCACAACTTTTAGGCACTCTTGCTCATCATAATTATGCACTTAGTTAGTTTATTTAATACCCAGGAGCAGAGAAGAAGATTTTCAAAGAATTTATGTATTTTCACTATATAATCTATAGAGCCCCACCCTAACACCAGAACCCCTGACCCTCGGGCCATAAAATTCACAATTTTGGTAGAGGCACTCTTTCTCATCATAACTATGCACTTAGTTAGTATATTTTATTCCCAGGAGCAGAGAAGAAGATTTTCAAAGAATTCATGAAATTTCACTATATACTTATTTAGCCCCACCCTAACACCAGAACCCCTGACCCCGGGGCCATGAATTTCACAATTTTGGTAGAGGACTCAATGCTGATTACAATCATGCAAACAGTTTGACTGCTTGATGTCCAGGAGTAAAGAAGAAGATTTTTAAAGATTGCACTAATTTTAGTGGTTTTTGCCCCACCCCCCAGGCCCCAGGGGGGCAGGGCCCATGAAATTCACAATTTTTGTTTCCCTTCACCCATAGATGCTTTATGCCAAATTTGGTTGAAATTGGTTCAGTGGTTTCAGAGAAGAAGCTGAAAATGTTCAAATGTTAACGCACGACGCACGACGCACGACGAACGACGACGGACGAAAAGTGATAGCAATAGGTCACCTGAGTTTACTCAGGTGACCTAAAAAGGTTTAAAATCAGTTGACCTTTTGTGATAGTGTCTATACTTAAATTGGAATTTTACATTTTTTTTATTCAATAAATGTCACTTTTGCACCTCTTCCGTTTGCCGGACATAGTCAGTTGCCCCCTGCTCACCGCGGGGAGGTGGAAGTAGGATTTTGAGCAGGATATATATTTTTATATAATTTTCTATTTGTTACTTCACTTTAGAGATCATGAATTTACTTCTTATAATATTTACAGCAATCAAACACAAATTTGTGAAATTACGATGTTTCGAAAGTTTAACTGCTAATTTTACTCTAATTTCATTGAAATTTTTCCCAATATAATTATTTATATATGTATTATCCAAGCATTTACGATTATCAAAGAATTTCTCTTACCACGTCTTGCATTAAAAGCGGTATATAAAGACTTTTTTAGCATGCTTTGTTTATAAATTCGAATTTAGAAAATCTTTAAAACTCTCATAGTTTTCAGGAATCCCATTTCTTTTGCTTCATTGATAACTTTGAAACCTACCATCATAATATCTCCAAAAGTTTTCTAACAAAATTCCCGTTCCTTTAAATTTCTTTTCTTTTGACAGTGAAACGACTTAAAGATAATGTGGAAACACACTGGAATAATCTCTCTGCCGTAAACGGAAACATTCTGTTTAAATAACTTAATAAATACACATGGGTACGACATTCCAATATTTCGATCACCAGCTAGGTTAGTAACAATTTCCCTTCAAATGGGAAGTTTGCAGCCTTCAAAGAGGATTACAGAACACTGATATTAAACGGAAATCTCGTTTGCAGTATATCAATATTTTTATTTAGTATTATAATTGTTCAACAAAATACCAAATACAATTAATGTCTAACATTTTTTATCTGCTTTCTTGTACGGTAATTTTTTTTTATACCTGTGATCAGAAATTTAGACTTGTAGAATATCCCTCTTCATCGTTTAAAATAATTTTAAAGTAACAGGAGAAGGACAAATTAAACATTAAATATATACAAACATAAATTTACTACAAATGTTAATTATGACTTCATTAGGCTCAGTTAGTAACTCTCCCTGAAACCCCTGCAGTATATATACTAACGTATCTAAACTTATATACAATGTTAATTTGCTCCCTGAAAAAGATTTTTCTTACACATGTTTGTATATCATTACAGGGTGCACTGTAAATCTGGCAACTGACAAAGCATTGTAAACCGATTCTTATTTACAGATGTGTATTTACATTCCTTAAGAACATTCTATCAGTTGCAATCATGAGTGCTTTGATTTTTAAAAGATAATATATTTTGTTACAAACTTTCTAAACATATTCGGCTTAATATCGATATAGCTAAAATGAATAAAATTGATATTTCTATATCAAAAGAAAAAAACAATTTGAATAAAAGAAATGAACAAAACTACTAACACATACTCTGTTTGAATATTTTGGGTTTGTTTTAAAAATCTAAGAATTTCAGAAGTATAGCATCGTGATAACTGTAATATGTTGGAAATTTCTGAACTAGATACATAAATGTGATCTAAAATTGTTTTCCCCTAAGTTAATTGTACTAAATGACACAAGCTGTCTGAAATTTCCATCTCTCATAAATCTTTGAATTGGGCCATTAGCTATCAAAAATTCAGGCTTGTACAATATCCCTCTTCATCGTTTAAATAACTGAAAAGAACAGGAGAAGGACAAATAAAACATCAAATATATACAAACATAAATTTACTACAAATGTTAATTATATCTTCATTTGGCCCAGTTAGTAACTCTGCCTAAAATCCCTGCAATATATATACTAACGTATCTAAACTTATACATAATGTTAATTTGCTCCCTACTTAAGATTTTTCTTACACGTGTTTGTGTATCATTACAGAGTGCAATGTAAATCTGGCAACTAAATAAGCATTGTAAGCTGATTTTTATTTACAGATGTGTATTTACATTCCTTAAGAACAATCTATTCAGTTGCAATCATGAATGCTTTGATTTTGAAAGATAATTTATTCTGTTTCAAAACTTTCTAATCATATTCGGCTTTATTAATAGCTAAAATGAATAAAAATTGATATCTCCATATCTAAAGAAAAAAAAAGCACTTTGAATAAAAGAAATCATCTGCCATACCGGTAGTTCAGTGAACAAAAATCACTAACACATACTCTGTTCAAATATTAGGGGTTGTTTCAAATATCTAGGAATTTCAGAAGTAGAGCATCGTGATAACTGTAATATGTTGGAACTTTCTGAACATCAATCCTTATCGAACTAGATACATAAACATGATCTAAAATTGTTCCCCCCTCTGTTGTACTAAATGACACAAGCTGTCTGAAGTTTCGATCTCTCATAAATCTTTGAATCGGACCATTAGCTTTGGCATCTTCATTGAAATCTCCTATGATGATGCTGTCTTGATCATTTGTTTTCAACTTGTCAAGAACATTCTGAAGATTGTGAAGGAACGGTTTCATTTTTGCCGTACACGGTCGATATACAACCAACAACAAAACATTCTCCTTCAGTATTTTCACTGCTATTCCTTCAATATTCATCTTTGGCAGTTGCAGAACATCATTATAATCTTCCTCATGTTTCAAGTACAATCCAACTCCTCCACCCCTTGACAAATTGCGTAAACTCTGGTTTGAAACTGTGCTCTCTTCATATGCTTTCTCCCTAGGAAGATGATGAAACTGAAAACCCTGAAGTTCATAATTCTCGATTTTTTCTCCCGATCTTAGCCACGTCTCTGTCAAGCAAATAATGCTTGCTTGCCTAATCCTTGCATCGTTTTTCAGGTCTTCAAAATGATTGCTCAAGCTCTGTATATTATGCAGAACTATTTTCTTCCCATTGGCAAGTAAAGTTCGTGAAGAGTCAACAAAAGTATATTTCAGCATTTCGTTCAATGCTGCCTTTACCTCTGGGTCGGCATAAATAGTTTTTTGCAATTGAACAGGGTCTTCTGTATCAATAAAGAGTCCATTTTTTGAAGTAACTCTTGATAATGCAACATAAGCCTGACCTGGGGCAAAAACTTTGTCTAAATTAACAACAACGTTGTTTGTTGTCATCCCTTGCACCTTATGAGCTGTACATGCCCATGATAACTTAATTGGAAATTGGTGTCTTACCACCGTGGTTACCTTGTCTTTCATCTCTTCTTGTACTCTTTCTATGAACACTATGTTACCATCCTTTGTGTTTTGTCCGGACTTCTTCCCAACTTCCTTATTATCAAACACAACTCCTACAGCTTTGACAATTTTATCGCTGTTTTCTACAAAAGCAAACTGACAGATATGTCCCATTACTCCATTCACGAGCCCATCCTCGACATTACAATTTCTTGTGAGCATTACCCTGGCATTGACAGACAATATCAACGAGCTTGGAAGTCCATCGCTTTTCGATCTTGTCAAAGGTTTGTTTCTTAGCATGAGTTTCCCGGTTGTTTTGTCTTTTTTATAATCTTCAGCATCAATTTCCAGTAAATCTTCACAAGATTTCTTTAACATTGACAAATTAAATGTGTTAACCTCTTCGTTCGTAGAAAATACATGGAGAACATCTTCTGGTCCTTCCCTGATACAGTCTTCCAGCAGAGAACGTTGCTCTTGTGTTAATGGTTCATTTTTCTCTCTGACACGAAGGGAATTCAGAACTTCAGCAAAGCACATATCCTCTCTTTGTCTCATTATCTCTTCTAATTCAGTGACCTTAAACAAATCAAGCCAGTAGTCCATAGGATAACTCACATTTTCTTTGTAAAGTCTTTCATCTTTTCGCTGCTTTACAGGTGGAAGTTGGTAAAAGTCCCCAACAGCAATAACACATATCCCTCCAAACGGTTCTTTGCATTTCTTAATTTGCACCAGTCTCTCGTGTATATAGTACAGTAACCTTTTGTAAACCATTGATATCTCATCAATGATTAGAATTTGCAGATCCCCAATCTTTACTCTTAATTCACTGAGACTTTGTTCTCCAAGAGGTTCATACGGGAGTGGAAGATACTTGGTCAATGAAAACAAGTGATGAAGTGTATTTCCACCAATGTTGAAAGCCGCAGTGCCAGTAAATGCTGCGAGAAGAACTGATAGTCTATCTGGTTCAGACATTATCTGTGAAAGTAATCGTGATGCTTCATAATGGATGGCTTTTATCAAATGACTTTTTCCAGTTCCTGCACCCCCAGTAACAAATAAATGAAAGGGTTCACATTTTTCTCCTCCAATCTTTGAAAGACACCACTCACGCACCAAGTAAAATATTTCACTCTGTGTTTCATTCAACCTTTGTAGAACAGGTAACATTTCCTCTCTTGTAATTGCATTTTGCTGAATATGATACATGACATCTGCATTATATGTCTCGCTTTCGATTTCCGGTATAATATCCACATTTTCCTCTTGTGGTACTGAACTTTCCTTCCTCTGGGCTATACCTTCCCTTCTGAGAACCTCTGTTTCTGGACATATTCTTGACCACGCATCCTCTGGTTCACCAATCATCTCATAGGCTTCCTGCGCATTGTCAATCACATTTTCATTTTTTGCATAACGTGAATGATTGAAATCCACAATTGACTTCACCGACTCCTTTATTTTTCTGCCAGAAATTTTTACAAAGCCTGTCTCATAAAAATCCTCATATAAATCAAATCCCGGTGGTTTCAACTGTGCCTCTGTCCAATAAGGAAGAAAAAGTTGCAAAAGAGACTGATAGTATTTCTCCGACATTTTTTCAACATTGAATCTTGGATATCTAACAACAGCAGGTTGCGTTCTAGTTCTTCGTTGAACAAATCCTTTCCCATTTTGTAATTCAAACACATTTTCATTTTCCTTCTTAGGAACCTGAGATTTAGCAAGAACTCTGAACTCAGAACAAAATTCTGCAAGGCACATCTCATGGAAAATTGGTTTTTCTGGTCGGTTCAAATAACGTTCTATAATGTTGGTCATCCAAACTTCATTCTCGTCATCTTCTTCCTCATCAATTATTTCTATATCCTTTGATGATTTCTTCTTCAGAACAGATAATGGCTTACTTAAACGCATCGGGTTGTCCCCTACAGGCACAAATACAACTTTTCGAGAGCATTCTTTCATTTTTAAGTTACAGATTCTGTATACGGCTTCCTGGGCACTCACTTCTCTGTGATGTAAGTAAGCAGAACCAATTTTCTTCATAGTCTGTTTTGCGTCGAGATTTCCTTCCTCGGCTTCTAACTTTGTTTGTTTGAGTAACATACCCATTTCCCTCTCTGATTTTGATATATAGGAAACAATATAAACAATACAACTGAAAGGATCTAGTACAAACTGTATATCCATATTTGCATCCCAGGACTTCAGCAAACAACGGTTATATTGATTTGTCCATACCTCATGTGGGCATCGCTTGAGAACAATTGACCTTTTTGTCGATAACATGTTATAGGCTTCTTCATACAGTTCCTGCGTAAGTGACAGATTATCAAATAATTCCTCTGTTGTTTTGATTCTCTCATCTTCATTTTGTAACCTTTCCCAAACACTAAGTAATATCTCCTTTGCATATTCCTTGTTTACTTTTGACTCCGTTTCACACTCATTTGAGGTCTCTTCGTCCTGAGTACTTGTGATGAATGTCTTTTGAGATGGAGGCCTCGGGAAATTAAACCTACACTCTGTACCCTTCTTTTTGCAAGATTTTGAATGTTTCCTGCTATGTTGCTGCACATCTAAGACACTTTTCCTCAATTCTGCGTCATCACTCTCTGATGGTATAGCACATGACACATACCTGTCAATGAAGCTACATACAACCTCTTCACCATCAGAATCAATATTGGGTGCATTTTCAACCCAGTATAAGCAGTGCATATGAGGAGATCCTCTCTGCTGAAACTCTACTCTTTGAAAAAAGTCTATTACTTTTCCTATTGGTTCTGCTGGGGAAAGTATGACTTCCTTGTGAAATACTTGAAATCTATGGTCAAACATCCTAGCCACTGTGACTGGATTGCATCTTAGAACTTCATTTTTTTCTGACCATTCCATTTCATCAGGATTTCTGTTATCATTTTGCTGTTGTAATATAGCTTTAACAGCATCATTCCATCTGTACTCTGCTGCAGAAAACGAACAAAACCAAGTAGGGATGCCTAATTGTCGCAGCATTGCAAAGAGGTCCTTTTGAGCTGTTGCCCAATAAGCCGGTGTTCCTCTTATCGGTTGCATAAATCTTATTGCATTATCATTTCGCAGCAAACTACAGAGAGCAGCTGGATCTTGCAGCATGTTTATTGTTACAGGTTTCCTACTTGTACATTTTGACAGTGATTTTCGAAGTGAAATTTGTGTTTTTTCAATCACTTGGTTCAATTCAGACATGTACTGGCTGAAGAAAATGTAATTGGTATCTTTTGCAAACCTGTCATCTGCATTCATTAACCTATTGTTGAAATACCTAGAAAGTGTCAATCTTTCTGATCTTTCATCATTCCAGGAAAAACTACCACTTGGAAAAAGACAAGGAAATGCCTTTGCTTCATTGCCAGTTTCCTGTAACATTCGAATAGGGTTTTTCCCTTCACTTGGTGCAATATTGTACACATCATCAAAGTAGTGGTCTAAAACTTCCTGTGCAACATCAACAGGCTGTAAACATGTGTCAAATGAAACCATTTCCTCTTCAATTTCTTCGTTATCCTTTGCAATTACAACATCTGTCATCGCCTCATGATTCGCCAAACCTTCTGCCATAGCTGTTTCAATTCTTACATCCTTGTACCAAAGGTTGTTTAATTTCAAGTATGATAAAGCGGTCATGACATGGCTCATATTAACAAACTGATATTCAAAATAGCCTTTGTAATTCAATTTCCTTTTTAATTTAACACGTAACAACAAGTTTTCATCCTGTTTCATTGGTAAACTGGCAGTCTTTTTCATATCTGATGGCACACAAATAACAGGTCCATGAACATTTTTTTGCCCACCATGGGGTAGAGCCATGACCTTCATAAACGGTATGTGAATTGCAATCAAATGCTGTTCTAAACTGTTCAATTTAGACAACTCGGGTGGAATATCCTCCAGAATCATACTGTTGGCTGCTGCCTCAGCTGGTGCTTTGCCACTCATTATTTTCCTATGACATGTATAACAAATCCATAATGAAGATTTGGTACAGGCTTCTGGGCATGAGTAAGAACATTCATGTAAATACTTGTCTAATAAACATACGTTAGAAATAGTTCTTGCTGATTCACTTCTCTCGTACATCTGCCTTTCACAAGCTTGAACTTGACTTTTAAACAAAAGCCTATGGCAACACGTACAAACAAAATCAGGTCCCTCCATTGCATTTTTCTTAAACAATCTGATTACTTCTTCTTCATGTTCCAAATTCAGTTGCTTTAGCCTCCTTTTTTGTGACACCTTTTCTTTTTTCTTCCTTTTCGTTTCTGCCGATGAGTGATATCCATCCATACTACGTTTCTTCACTTTTGATTGGACTTCCGTATCAGTCTGATATCTCCTTGCTGCTCTTCCCTTCACAATTGCTTTAAAAGTTTCATTTGTACTGTATCTTAGAACATTGGCAGCTTTGTTTTTTATCCTATATGCTTCATTCTCTTTGTATTTTTTTAATACTCCTTGTTTTACTCTCGACTTGTGTATCAGGTCTGTTTTGTACTTTTCTCTGCTTCTTCTCTTAACTTTTTCCCGATGTTCTAAATCTGTCCTGTACTTGTCAGTACTTGCCTTTTTCACATTTCCCTGGTGTTCTAAGTTTGTCTTGTACTTTTCAGTACTTGCCTTTTTTACATTTTCCCGATGTTCCAAATCTGTCCTGTACTTGTCAGTACTTGCCTTTTTTACATTTTCTTGGTGTTCTAAGTTTGTGTTGTACTTTGCAGTACTTGCCTTTTTTACATTTTCCTGGTGTTCCAAGTTTGTCTTGTACTTTTCAGTACTAGCTTTCTTGACATTTTCCTGATGTTCAGTGTCCGTCCTGTACTTTTCTTTGCCCCGTTCCTTCGCTTGTTCTCTGTACTGAGCATCACACTTGTACTTATATAAACTTTTTCCCTTCTTCTCCTCTCTGTGTTCAGCGTCAGTCGAGTACTTCAGTTTATTTCTTTCCTTACTTGCTCGTTGTACTTCCTTTCGTAATTCTGAATCTAAAGCACGATACCTGTCTTTGTTCTTCATCTGAGTTTTTAACTTAAACTCTGCATTTAAGTACATGTTTTTCTTTTGCGCCAACATTTTCCCCCGAAACTCTTCACTTTCCCTGTACTTTTTCCTAAATGTGTCTCTGCGAGTTTCTTTTGACTTTAATGGTCTTTTCATTTTACAGGCATTTCGTTTTCCTTTCATTCGATCTCGATTTCCCCTGCGTAAGTTATACTCTCTCCTCTTTGAACCGTTTCTGATGAATGAATCGCTTTTCGACATCCTCGCAACTACACTTAAAACCACATCATAATGGTTCTGCTGTCTGTGGTATAAATAAATAGCCTCATCATGTTCAACCGGTTCATGATTTGGTTCTTCTCCACTGAATTGAATCCATTTCATATCTGAATAAGTATAAATGTCTATATTCAGCATGTGCGACATTGCAAGAATCTCCAATTCAGTAGCCCATATACCGTCCTCTGACATTTTACTGGAAAGTAAGTATGACCTTAAAGACCCCTCACACCTCATAAACTGCTGAAATTTTTTTTCATATTTCAACAAGTGTTGACAAACAGCTTTTCGAAGATGCTGATGATAGTTCTCAGAGTTTGTAAGACTATATGATATTGCCCTGAAAAAACAATTTCCATCTCCTTCTATTTCTTTACAGTTGCTTGGTATATCCATGTCTTTTATGGACACTGCATCATTTTCACATCTAGAAACAGAATAGGAAAATCCCAACTCTTTGCACAACTCCCTTTGTTTCTGTACCGACAAAGGAGTAAAATCATGTTGTTTGACTTCCTCACCCATTAAAATTACTTCATATGTCTGCAATACATCCGACTGTTCTGACAATAACTCATACTGATTTGAATCTTTCAATGCTCCTGAATATCTCCAAGTTTCTTCATCCATTGATTGCTTTAACATTGAAGCACCTTGCGTAAAACCTACATTTGCTTCTGACTGTTCTTCAAAACCTTCAACCTCATAAACATCTGCAATAGCAAAATGCTTCAATGAACACAAAACTCCAGTTAATTCACATTCAACAGTTCTTGAAAAGCCCATAGAAAGAGCCAGAGATCTAAGATGCAAGTACACATCCTGAACATCCTTTAACAAGATTCTTGTACTTTTCCCTCTGACACTTAAATATCCACGAGAGCACCGTGCATGTGAATCAAATATGAAAAAGCCATCAGTAGTTTTTCCTATTAAAAGGGTATTTCCCCCAAAACACACAAAACACCCATGCGTCTCAGTAAGTGCCAACTGGAGAGCTTCAAAAAGAGGATAAGCATTAAATTCTTCATAACATGGCTCCTCCTCTGATAAGCTGATGAAACTTGGTACCGAGACCTTCACAGTAAAGTCAAATGTGTTGCTAAAGCATTCAAAATACTGTGGTAACTCATCAACTAACAAATACCTACTTGTAATTGAAGAACAGTTCTGCAGGTATGTGTAAAGTTCATCTCCATTCACTAAAACTTTGTTGATATCAGCTGTTTGCCATATTTGTGCACTTTTCAGAAGATTATAAGCTAAACCTGATAAACAATTTGCCACACATTGAGTTCCTGCAGTGTCGCCAAACATAGGATCTGCTTGATGGAAAGAGCCCTGAACAGATACATTGTACAAACTTCTTGCTTTTAAATCATCATTTCCCTCATCCTGCACACTACAACCTTCTCTCTGATCAAGTTGTTCATTTACATCTTTTATATCCCAACTTTTACAATTTTTATCCTCACCCACTTTTTGAAATACCTTACTCTCATTTGTTTCCTTCATTTCTTCCTTATCATCAGTTTTATCATTTGACTCTCTGACATTTTCTATGATCTCTGTATCATCTCTGAAATCCATCATACTTTCTACAGTCTCCAACATATCTCTTTCCCTTTTTATACTTTCTATTATATCAGGTTTTTCGTTCAAGTTTCCTTTTGATATTCGTTCAGTTTCTATTTTAGAATTCGTTAAAGTTCCTTCATCTTTTGATATTCTACTGGTCTCCTCCATCCTGGAGGTATCCAGCTGCGCCTGTCCTGCTGGATCAGACATATGCACTATGTCCGATCCAGGTGCCCTCTGTGGAGCACAAACCCACGGTGGGGAGTCAGTGGACGGTGCCTTGCCCTCGTCATGGACAAACAGACGACTTCCCCGAGGAGGTGACAACCTCGGGGCAGGTGAATGCATTTTCACTCGAGGTGAGGCCTGCACCCTGGCCAGGGGTTTTTCCTCTTTAGGTGGAAACCCCATCGAACCAAGCCCCGGAAAATTACCGGGAGGAGCTGAATCAGCTCCATCCACTGTCCCACAGGGAACAGTGGACTGTTGTGGCAGCAAAGCTGAGACTTCATCAGGCAGAATCCCTGCAGGCTTTTGCCTCTGTTCTCTTTTTCTTATTTTGTCTTGTAGCATTCGCTGTCTTGTAGACATTTTCTTTCTCTTTGCCATCTGAAAAAACATTGACAATATACCATAGATTACTACAACTGCCCTAAAGAAAATTATTTCCTTATATTAAAAGTAATACCAGCTGTTTGAAAGCCAATTATTGATTGAAACAAACAACTTAAAGCTATATATGGCATATCTGAGTCAAAAAATAAAAACACAAGATTAATTGTAGATTTACCAGATATTTGTTACTTACCTCCGAATTAATTAAATATCACCACAAGTCTATAATTAAATTGAATTTACACTGTGTCTGGTATTTTTATGCGAGTCGGAAATAATTCGGTTATTGTTTTAAATCTGTGATATCTATGAAACGCGATTGATTTAAATTGTGTAATTTACAGGAAAGCCCTATCTTTATATAAAGTAACAAAATAAATAAAAAGATCTTTTAAATCTTAGTTAGTCTGAACTTATAAAAAAATACGCCATATATGACTTTAAATGATTTGAAACACATGAAAAGTATAATGAAACAAGAGGCCCATGGGCCACATCGCTCACCTGAGCCATCTTGGCCCATCTTTTCAAATTTAAAAAGTTTTTTTTCTTTAAATGCCTTCTGACTTGAAATATTTTATGACTTTTAATATTCTTGCATCATTAAAACTGAACCCAAATGTGTCAATATACATGTTTACTGAATCCATTCAATGATTTGGATGCTTAAAATTCCAATTTTAACTAATTGTGTTCTTTATACCAAGAAGTTTTAACATCTAGGCTTCCGACATGATGCATGCACATACCGTAATTCCAATTATGAGCCAAAGATTGTTCATTAATTACAGCATTTTGCATTCAGATTGATGAGTGCAATCAGTTACTAACCTTCCTTCAGCAAATGTCGCCCGCGTGGCGCAGTGGTTAGAGCGTCTGCTCTAGAGTCGCGAAGTAAGGAGTCAATCCTTACATCGCGGGTTCGAATCCCACTGCGGGACGTGGAGACCGGTCCTTCGGATGAGACCGTATAAACCAAGGCCCCGTGTCGCAGTAGATGCTGGCACGAAAAAGATCCCTCACTGCTCAAAGAGCCTGAGTGTTGAACATAGGTCAAAATTTGTAGCCCTCCACCGGCAAGTGGTGGCGTCCCCATACGAGTGAAACATTTTCGAGAGGGACGTTAAACAACATACAATCAATCAATCAATCCTTCAGCAAATAAGAAAAATGCATGATTGTGCCTAAAACTTTATTCAGAAAGTTTTGGAATTCTAAAGTTATTATTTGTAGGCAACAATATGAGTAAAATAACATAAAATGTTCAAAACAAGGTGGTACATATTAAACTATGTTGACACATTTGATATTAGAATATACACAATTTTAAAATACATTTCTTATTTTGAAACTCATTTTCATGCACATACATACATGTGAAGTACCAGGTAGTATTAAATTAAGTCAAAAACATCATTAAATCAGTAGATGTTTAATTAAATTTAAAACATAATGATTGTAAATGACAATAAATCTTAGTAAAGAGTATTACTATATAAAGAAAGCACATTTGAAAATGCAGTCAAAATATGCATATTTGTCTAATTAAATATATAAATCACTTAAAAAAAAATACAATAACTCAATGTACATACCTTTTCCAATGAAAGCGAAAACGAAAACGGGAAAGGTTTGTGTGTAAGTGATTAAAAAAGATTTTTCAGGTTTTACCTGGATGTGCATAGTACCTTATGTTTACATAATTGCATTACCACTGAACCCCTGATTCAAAGAATCTTGTTAAACAATTTAGGGGAGCGCTTTTATTCGTCTTAAGTTTTTTATTATAGATGTATCATATTATATGTGCAATTATATTCATCAGTAATTTTTTGTCTTCTAAAAGAGGTAGGTTTACCTCCCTTTATGGGCTGGCCATTGACCTCCTCTTTCCATACTTACCTTTAAATCATAGATTTTGTACACATTAAATTTGTTCTTTAGTCCCCTGATGTTCTCAAAATTCTACATGACCTGATACGTCTTATTCATTTGAATCAAGGAATCTGAGTTTTCATATATAAAATTCAGCTGACTGTGACAATGTAGTGACATTTTTAAACTGTAAGCATCGCATGTTATTTACACAAGTTTTTTTTTAAGAAGCATAATTTACAAAGAAGTTCATAGTACAAATAAGAATTATTATCATTAAGTAAAATATATCTAATATTTTGTATGTGCAGTCTTATCATGATTTTCTAACTTATAATCAAATTAAGAAAACTAAACAACCAGGCACAAATCCAAAGTAAAAGTGCAAAAAAATATTTCAGCAAAAGATTAAAGGCATGCAGTCAATGGAGACATTCAACTTAATGGTTTCCCCATTTTCTACGATGACACATATTTAATTTTTGCAATGATATATCTGGCATTAATTATGAGAAGATGGGTATCACACAAAGAAGGCTAGCTGGAAGAGTCAGATCGAATCACAGTTAATGGAATGCTCTAGAGTCACAATCACTGCAGTCTATCAAAGAGTGTCCTTCAATGTTCTTCAAGAAAGATTACAAAATATCAGGATAAAAGAATTCCCAACACAAAATTGTGTTGTCGGTATTTAAATCCAAATGTCATACTAAGGGCAGATGATTCTCAATTTCTGAAACATAATTATTGTTTGTACATGTAAGATATATGAACTCTATAAATGGTAATACACATGTACACTGAATTGTACACAGAATAGACAAGATACATCCAATACAATATTCTACAAAATGATATTATGCACTATTATTTTGAATATACATGTACATGTAGATTATTACTTGTAAAAAAAAAATAAAGTAAAAAAAAATCAATTTCACAAACTTGGCATTCAGTAAAGTTGTTACACATATACATGTGGATTGAAAAAATGTTAACAATTTTACAAATTTTCTGATATAAAATCAACAGTTGATCAACTGACAATGGCCAAAAAAGCAATTATTCGTGAATATGACAATCTTTCATTTTAATTTAAATATGCATTAAGAATTTAGCACAAATTGTAGTCATAGCAAAAAATATGAAATTATCTAATTTTACGAATAAAATCTTAAGAAAGTAAATATATATACATGTACATAAATACAATAAGAATTCAATAATAATTATGTAATTAACAAACAGGTCTAAAAGGTAAATGTATTCATCTAAAAACAGATGTGTTATATAATACAAAGATAAAGTACAAAATTCAAATTTTCAAACAGTGGGTTGTTTTTAAAAATGTCCAAATAAGGCTAATACCCCAACAAGGGAATAAGAGAAGACATACATGTACTTTGATCTCTGTAACCTAGCTACAATTATTGCAAATGGCCAAAGGGATGGCCTGAATTTTGCTGACGTGTAATTAGCTGAAGGTCATGTTAATCTCTAGTGAGTCAAGAACACAATTACCCACTGTTCAAGCTTTAAAATGTTTTGGATCAAAGAATACTTAACTTCTTAGTCATATTAATTACTGAATGATCTTGTACAATCATTACATCCAATTAGATATATCACGACAGATCTCTTTTTCATAAGAAACCTTAATTTGCCAAAGTATATATAACCTAATATATTCACCCAAAACCAAAAACATAAACATATAAACTTTGTGACCTTGATCTAAATCCTTTTAGCTGCTTGTCATGACAGCATATTAAATTAAATTAACTTTGACAAATTAAGACACAGGCAGATGGACATGTTGAATCCAGTATACCCCCAAAAATTTGAGGGGTATACTAAGATGGGACAAAGGATTGAGGGAGGGGGCATATTTATGGATCTCCCTCTGCTCTTTTTTACTTTCGTGCCCCATTGTATTTAGTGCTTACGTCTTATCAAATGCACAGTACACCATTTTATGATCTGACCAGTATGCTTCAATCACGTCTGTTTCACATGGTGATATGTTTGTAAAAATCAAGTCAAGTTTCGAACCAGAGTCATGAGTAATCTTACGCACAATTTGTTTACAGCTGAAGCCTCTTTCCATAAAAGTTAGAAAGTCTGTATGCCCAGCAAACAAATCAAAATTAAAATCTCCTAAGAATACCAAGTCTTTCTGTTGATCAATCAAGGGCTTTATATGCACATTCATATCCTGTTTGAATTCCCCAAAAGAGCAAGATGGATATTTGTAAATAACTACAACTTGGACATCTCTACTTTGGTTTACATGTATATTTACCATGATGAACTCCATGGAACCAGTGTTCAGCTTTGAGATGCAGGTTGTGTTGTAGACATTTTTCACATAAACTGCTGTTCCATGATAAGGGCGCCTGTCCATATTATCTGTAGTCTCATGGTTAAATACTGCTGTGTATCCCTGCAGTTGATAATTTTCAGCTACATCAACACTAGTTAATCTTGTCTCTGAGAATCCAACTACATCTGATGCAACAATATTTGGTTCATCTTGAATTTGTTGGAAGTGTTTATGAAGTGATCTACAGTTGTTGAAAGCAATTTTAAAAGAATTAAAGTCAACTTGGTATAATGGGACGTAACAAAGTAGCAGCGGCACATCTTTTTTCATTCTTTCCATTTCCTCTACCACTTGTTCATCCATAGCCAATGCCTGCTCATTGAAGTTTAGGATGTGCAGATGATTCACTGATCGTACTCGACTTAGTGCTACATAGTGAATATGTGCATTTTTCCTCACTCTAGTCTGAGACAAATCAATTACAATTTCATCAACAGTGCAACCTTGCGCTTTATGAACTGTTTTCCCTGCAGCTGGGCGTAACGGAAATTGAATTCTCTGAAAAGTATTGTAATTCAATACAAAAGACCTCTGAACTTCAAAAATTGGTGTCCAGTCCACATTAATCCCATCATGATACAAATGTTTGTATTTCTTGCGAGTAATTTTTCCAATAGCAGCATCAAAAAAATTGACCCACACGATGCTTGGTCTTGATATTCCTTCTATTCTTCTTTCAATTAATTGTACCTTACATGTTGATCCATTTGTTAGACCATCAGATACATCAACATTGACTGAGATATCATAGATCATCCCAATAGCAAGAATCAGTTTTTGCATCAAATTAGCAGTTTTGCTAACATCATCTGCTTTAGATAGAGATCTCAGCAGCTTTTCCTTAAGTTCCTTTGAATAATCCTTTAGAACTGTATCCACTGAATTCACTGTAACCTTTTCTCCTTCAAGTTTTTCAATCAACTGATTGTTGTATGCATCTACTTTAGAATTCTGTGTAAAGAGATGAGGAGCATGATGTGGATAATTGTCACTCGTTTCTGTTATCATGCATCTGTGTATTACATTCATATCTTCTTCTGTCATGATATTGTAACGAAGGCGATTTAGAAGTTGAGCAAACTCAAGATCGTCTTTCTGGCGCATTATTTCATCCAACTCAAAAATGCAAAAATGCTCCTTCCAGAGATTGTTTGCAAGAGCTTGAGCATCATGATTTAAATCTTGAAAGATCCAACGGTCCATCACAGGTTTAAGTTGGAAAAAATCACCAACAGCAATGATACTTATACCACCAAATGGTTTCTTGATGCCTGTGAGAAGTTGTAGACGACTGTCAATGAGTGCTAATGATCTATTACCAACCATTGATATCTCATCAATAATGATCATTTTTAGGTTTTTGTACTTGGTACGAAAAGTGTTCAATTCATCACAGTGCAAGCTTTGTTGACTTTGATTAATTTTTTGATGGAAAGCAGATGCTATAGTTGCTCCTCCAATGTTGTATGCCGCTTTGCCAGTATAAGCACAAAGAAGTACTCTTATGTCATCTGGATTTTCACCTTCTGTGGAACATAGATATCTGTGCAGAGCTTGATAAAGTGCTCTTATCAAAACAGATTTGCCAACACCAGCACCTCCAGATAAAAATGAATAAATAGGTTCTGTCTTGGTTTTTACCCAGTGCAGGACATGATTGAAAAATTCCCGCTGCTTTACATTTAGACTTCCTAAAAGTTTCAGGTATTCATTGTCTGGTAATCTAACAGAACTTTCTTCAGTTATTTGTCTTGTTGATGGAATGCCAAGGTCAGATCCTATATCATACTGTCTCTGTTCAATAGGCCTCTCAGGATTAAATTGAACAAAGTTTTCAGATTCAAGAGATCCCTCATTTTCATCTTCTGCCTCTCTTTGCTGAGCATCTGGTGCCAATTCATCAAAAGCTTCTGAAAAGTCCTCATTTGCCATTTGCAAAGCTGCATCAAGCTGTTCAGCATTGAATTCATATTCCATGACCTTGTGCGTAAGAAACGACTTCTTCAGATGAAATGACTTCTCAAATGTCTCCATCCCTGATATTAGATCAACGGATTCATTTCGCCAAGGCATGAACAACATGAGTTTTTCTCTGTAGTAATTTTCTGGATCAGTTTTGATATTAAATCGGACATATCTAATTACCCTTGGCATTTTACGACGTCTGATCTTTATGCCATTTCTCAGTGTAACTAATGTATCACTTTCACCAAATTCGAGATCTGAATTGTCATCATCTGACTGATTGTCCTGATCATCATCATTCACTTCATTTTCAGCGAACTCTTTTTCGGTATCTTTAGGAAATACAACATCTAGCTGTGATACGTAATCGGCTAAGCACCAGTTTTCAAGCTGCTTTGGGCGTTTTGCATACCGTTTAATTACATTGCTGCATTCCACATCTGTAGAATTTGGTGTCAACTTTTCTAATTCAGCATCTGTTTTGATGAGAATTACTCGGTCATCTGATGGACTTGTGTTGATAAAAACAACATCCCTTGAAGCTTTTGTCATTGGCATTTGTAACACTAAATATGCTGCTTCTTGTGCTCCAACTTCTACACTATTGAGAAAATGATTTCCAATATGACGTACCTGTCTTTTTATGTCAAGATTTCCTTCTCTAGCTTCTTTTGCAGCTCTGTTAAGTAAATCGCTCATCCCTCTTTGTGATTTACTTATATAAGAAACAATATACATGGCACACGCATATGGGTCCAAAATATACTGAATGTCAATGTTAGCTTTCCAAGCATCAAGAACAACACTATTGTATGAGTTTACCCTCATATCACATGGACTTCTTTTTAAAAAAACCTTTGGACCTCTCAGTGAACTTCTTATGGATTTAATGTAATCTTCCTCGGATATCTTAAGTACTGTGCTCAGGAGTTCCTTGTAGGGCAAATCACATCCATTTTTCATATCATTTAGCTGTTTTTGAATATCATCATACATTTTCTTGTACTTATCAACATCACACTCTAGTGGCTCCAAAATCAAAGTCTCTTCAAGAGGAGGAAGGGGAAAACCAAATCGACATACAGCTTTACCTCTCTTTTTGCATGTCTGTGAATGTTTGTGCACTTGCAAGTCAGTCAAATCATCCTCTTCATTCTTTTCACATTTCAGGTAATTATCTACATAATTTACTATTACCTGTTCATTGTTTTCATGATATTTTGGTGCATTTTCTATCCAAACAATCATATGAATATGTGGTGATCCTCTTTGCTGAAATTCAGTTCTGTAGAAGAAGTCTTTTACAATCCCAATTGGATGGTGATCACTTCTCAACACTGAATTCATAAACATACGGAATCTATGATCAAAGTACCTGGAGCAAGTGATTGGATCTTTTTGTACTAATTTTGATTTTTCAAACCAAGTCATACTGTCGATTTCTTCATCAGTGTATTCTTTTCCATCATTTAACACTCCAAGTGCTCTGATGAGATCATTCCATCTTGTATCTGCAGCAGACAGTGACATAAACCATGTTGGTAGACCTAGCTGTCTTATCATAGCAAATACATCTTTTTTTCTAGTCTCAAGATATGCAGGTGAATTTCGTAACTGTCTGAACACAAAAAAACCTTCATCATGTCTAACAAGATTATTCACATTTTCAGGATTCTTCATTTCATTTGCTGTCATGGATTTTCCTTTGGTTTTACATTTTCTAAGAGCCAGATTGCATTTGTCTGTAACTTGCTTCATTTGTATTTTTTTCAACTTGAAAAACAAATTTGGAACAGACTGGGCAGCACGTCTATCAACACTTCTTAATTCCCATTTAGCAATATCTGCATAGGACACACGTACTTGTCTTTCATCATCTTGTAATCTTCCCTTTCCACAAAAAATTGTTGGAAATGATAAATACTCAGCTGTTTGATCTTGATATAAACTAAGTGGGCGTTGTCCCTCACCTGGAGCAAATGTGTAAACCTGATTCATGTCTCGTGAAGCATCATCTAACAGAGTGTCACAATTACCATCTCTACCAACTCCATCTACTTCACAGAATTCATCAACATCATTATCAACCGTCTCATCATCATCATCAGTATTTTGATCTCTTCTCATTTGTGTTTTCACAAATTCCTGAACAATTTCACTTGCTGAAGTTGTTATTTCTTGAAACCAGTTGTCATCAACATTGATATTTGCATTCTTGTAAAAGTCACTATTGTTCATAAGCCAGTGCAACGCCATCATTACTTTTGTTGGTCGTACATTTTCATGATAATCACATTTTTGATATGACAACTTTTTCTTTAGTTTGACAGGAACTGTGACATTTTCATCTAATTTTCTTGGCAGACTATTTACAGTAGGTTGAATATCAACAGGAACATTCACAATATTTCCCCTAACAGAATATTGTCCACCCCTTGGCAACTCTCTTATTTGCATAAAAGGTATCCTCAGTGATACAAGCCTTTCTTCTAAAGGAAACAAATCTAATTGCATTGGCTTAAGTGGCCACATCATACCATTTAAGACAGACAACTTTGGAATTTTGTTTTCTCTTATTGATGAAGAACAAGTATTGCAAATCCATTCCATATTTTCAACAGAGACAGTGTTTGTAAGAAACTTGCTTTTACACTCATCATCTAGTTTGAGGTTTTCCACTTTAGAAACACTTTCTTTGAACCATGTTTGCTGACAACATGAGCATACAAAAATTGGACCATGTCTAATCTGTTCATGAAAATTTTGAATGCAATCCCCTATATCTGCTCCAAATCTTTTCCGTCTTTTTTGTTCATTTACTTTTTCACAATACTCTTTATCTGCTCTTTGCTTCTGTTTCTGTTCCTTATTTAACAATCTCTCATTTTCTCTAAATGACACGTTACTTCGTTTAGCTTTCTTTATTAACCTTTCCTTTTCAAGAACAATTGGGTTTTCTCTGCATTTTCTTTTTGAAATTCTACTGCCCTCTTTTTCTTTTTCTTGCACTTCAACATTCTGACGTTTTAACTTTCTACCTGTAGTATTCATTTTCCTTTCTTTGTGTTTAATTTCAATATCTTGTCGCTTTAACTTTCTACCAGCAGTATTCATTTTCCTTTCTTTCTCTTTAATTTCAACATCTTGTCGCTTTAACTTTCTACCAGCAGTATTCATTTCCCTTTCTTTCTCTTTTATTTCTACATTTTGTCGCTTTAACTTTCTTGCAAACTTATCCATTTCCCTTTCTTTCTCTTTAATTTCTACATTCTGTCGTTTTAACTTTCTACCTGTAGTATTCATTTTCCTTTCTTTTTCTTTAATTTCAGTATCTTGTCGCTTTAACTTTCTACCAGCAGTATTCATTTTCCTTTCTTTCTCTTTAATTTCAACATCTTGTCGCTTTGACTTTCTACCAGCAGTATTCATTTCCCTTTCTTTCTCTTTTATTTCTACATTTTGTCGCTTTAACTTTCTTGCAAACTTATCCATTTTCCTTTCTTTCTCTTTAATTTCAACTTTCGCTTTGACTTTTTAATTTCATTTTGTCGCTTTAACTTTCTTATTTTCCCTTTCTTTCTCTTTAATTTCTACATTCTGTCGTTTTAACTTTCTACCTGTAGTATTCATTTCCCTTTCTTTCTCTTTTATTTCTACATTCTGTCGTTTTAACTTTCTAGCAGCTGCATCTCTTTCCTTTTCTTTTTCTCTTATTTCAGCATTCTGCCTTTTTAATTTCCTTGCAAATGCTGCAATTTCAGTCTCTCTGCTTTTTATATCATCATTTTGTCTTCTCAACTTTTTTGAAAGTGCTTCTTTGTTTCTTTCTACTTGCTTAAATTGTACATTCTGTCTTTTTCTCCTCATATACTCTCTCATATACCTTTTTTTGCATGGGTTTTGATCTGCATTTGTCACAGATGAGAGATGATCATCCATTTTGTAAAATCTTTTCTGTAATGGGCTTTTTTCTGGAAAACTATGATGCAAAGTCTTGATCGAGATTGGCAAGATTTCAAACTGCATTGCAAAGTCTATATGCATGCTGTTGTACATCCTGTACAAATATGACACCAAATCATCAATACTCGTGCTATGTACTAGTACTGATTTACCATCACAGGCAGACATGCCAGCACTGTCATGGGAATGAGAGTCAAAAAAGTAATATTCATTGTCTGACACTTTGTATATACTAGAACAAATTGCCCCGATCATTATCAGCAAATATCTAGAAACCTGAAATGCCTCCTCTATTGCTTGATGTAATGATTTCACTTGGCTGTTTTGTTCGTCAGAGACAAGTAATCCCCACATGGTTTCAAATTTCTCAATGACATGATGATTTTCTCCCAAAGTTAAGTTACTTGGCAACTCATCAAATTTAAGCAGTTTGTTAAAGAACATTTGTCTTTGCAGCAAATTCTTGACCAACATAACATACACCTGATCTCCTGCTATCAAAATGCTATCAATAAATTCTGTGGAGAATGAAAATCCTTCATAACTTTTCATCAACATAGTAAGAGCATTGCAGGTACACTGACTTCCTCTAGAAAATGATGTAAACCTTGCATCTCCTTGATGAAATGACCCAAATACTAATTTTGTATTGCATACCTGGTTGTCTTCTTGACTACATGATTTACTTTCTTCAGCCATTACACCATGATTATGTAGTACAGTTTTAGTGATCAAGGCATTGTTTGTCCATTTTTGTTCAATATTGTTTTGCAAATTCTTTTCATGAGATTCATTGAGCAGATTCATATCACAAAGTTCATTGAGCAGATTCATTTCACAAGTTTTTTGGTTTTCCTGTTTTTTTTGTAACCTGAGGGCAGGCTCCTCAGGGTCAACATTGGTTTTACTGTTTTTCACGAGGCCAGTCTCCTCAGTCATTCTAATGTCATACATTGTTTTACTGTTTTTTGAGAGGCCAGTCTCCTCAGTCAAGTCCAGGTCAGACATTGTTTTACTGTTTTTCATGAGGCCAGTCTCCTCAGTCTTGTCAGTCCGTATCTCTTTCCTGGCACCACTCATCCTCCAATACTTTCGTCTAGGCATCTACAAAGGACAAAGTTAATAATATATATACAGCAAAACTCAGTTAT